GCATATGAATGCATCATGTTGCATCACAAAACATTGGACTGTCACGCCTCTAGTTATTGCTGTATCGATGATATTGTTTGGGATGATAGTCCAAATGCATTCATGATCAGTGTACGGAACATTTATCAATATATAGTAATGATCATGCAATGTATTGATTGTTTTGATAGTCGAATGTGGGATAAAATATCAAATATATGTTTGTTGTCGAAAGCTGTTATTTGAAATTATTTTGTTTTATGCAACAAGCAAATATCACATGAACATTTTTATTTGAATATGATTGTAGTTGAACTGAACGGTTAGAAGGGAAAAAACAGTATCTATGTCATATTTTGTGTGTGTTGATATTATCAAATCTTGTCTAGGCAGTTTAGGCTTATGTTAATATGTATATATAAAAAAGGAAACACACCCTCAAACAATAAGCATCACATCATGCTTAAATCTAGAGCCCATCGTTTATAATAAGAGCCTCGAAGTGATGCAACAGTCAATCAAACACGAGTGTCATCTGTTTACATGTATCTTGAATTGGTTTTCATTCGCCGAGAGTAAATAATAAAAAAATAGCATGTTTTTGTTATAATCGGCTGCATATACTCTATAACTAAATCCCTATAATGTGATGACAGAGAAAATAGGATAGAAACTTCATGTGAATTTCTAAGTGCAAGTGCAGAAAATTGTGGCGAAATTAATTCTAAATTTATTTAAAATGTTTGGTTTGGGCAACACCCTCAATAAATTTCTGTATCCGCCCCTGCATGTATCTGGCAAAAGTAATTTGTACATGAAGAGCATGGGTGCGTGAACATTATTATATGCTTAAATCTTATTGTAGTGTATTGTCTATAAAGAATGGGGGAAAAAAATGAATACAAAAAGCATTGCCCCTTTCCACCTATTTTCTATTTTGAAGCGGACTGATTTTCTCTTTTTTATTTCACGATTATCAAGTACTGAAAAATACACAATTCGAACGACCTACCTCTGCTATGTAGCTGCAACACGGCTGTTTACAGAGCATTGTGTTTTCTGTGTATCCCAATTAATAACAGTGACTTACCATGATTTCACAACTGTTTCGTCGTTAGCATAAACATATACATTAATGTTCTTTTTCAACTCACCCTTTGTTATAAATACTGGACGTTAAAAACTATATCCCTATATTCCATTACAGGATATTGATAAATGAACGCAACACACAGTACACAGGTGAAAGCACCTTTAACGACTTGGCAATAGATACAAAAAGCCAAAAATGAATAACACTGCATCATTATTTTATAAGATTTGTAAAATATTAAATGAATTGGTTTAAAACTGGTAACACTTACCAATCCTGTTCTGTACAGTCGTAGTCTACCAATCTACAGACAGAGTACGTCGACCGCCTCGTTGGGAACTTGCTACTTTGATGTCACATGTCGTCTATTTATATCATCCACTGGGAAGTAGATTCCATGTAACGATAAGTGAGGCCACAATTATTATATAATTTATATTTACTTCATTCAACCTTGAGTATATTAAGGATTTCATTTACGGGTACGTACATTATTTTGGGAGAAGCAGGGAATATAGCGACCTTCTGTGTTTTCACAACTTTTTTCATCTAGTGAGAGGGGAAAACAATAAATTTAAACTATCAAAAAGAGTCTATGCAACATTTTGAGGGCGTAAACGGTATATTATATTATGTAACCATGCCACATTTAGAGGGCCTACGTGGAATTTTATATTAGGTAATTACAGTGGTGGATGCAAGGGTGTTGCTGTAGTTGCCTGGGCAACATCCTTTTTTCTGTGTCAAAAAATCGATCTGGACATTTTCCTCCTTTTCATATGAATTTCATGTGAATTTCTCATTAAAAAGTTGAACCTTTCTTTTCAAGGGCTTCCCTAACATTGTCTAATACTCTAGGCCTAAAGGTGTCGCCCAAACACCACTGATTTCACTACCCTAAACGATAGGGAATCTCCTATTGGTAATGTCAATATGTGTCCAGTCAGGACGATGATTATATGGTCTTTGTTTTACCTGACCCTACTTGTATATTACTGTACCACATGTACCTGTATTGTACTGGTGTGTAATGATCACCCCTGTCAGAGTGGAGGGGACTATACCATTTGTAGGAATTAGGTAAAATCATCATATATCGGCTGATAGATAGAGTAGATCGAGTCTATTTCATTTTTACCTGCATATTCACTTGTGGTTTCAAAGGTATATCAATATTTATTTAAAAGTCATTTATTGCGATTATAATCTATAGTTTTCAAATACTAGTATCATTGAATTTGCTAAAGCACAGAATTTATCACATACCTCATATTTAATGTTTAGTTTACCCAAAAGAGGAATTTATACAAAATATACTTAACAATTAAATGCATAATTCCCCACTGAATGCTAGTGCCGAATGCACACGAATGCATCATGTTGCATCACCAAACATTGGACTGTCACGCCTCTAGTTATTGCTGTATCGATGATATTGTTTGGGATGGTAGTCCAAATGCATTCATGATCAGTGTGCGGAACATTTATCAATATGTAGTAATGATCATGTAATGTATTGATTGTTTTGATAGTCGAATGTGGGATAAAATATCAAATAGATGTTCGTTGTCAAAAGCTGTTATTTGAAATTATTTTGTTTTATGCAACAAGTAAATATCACATGAAACTGTTTATTTGAATATGATTGTAGTTGAACTGAACGGTTAGAAGGAAAAAACAGTACCTATGTCTTATTGTGAGTGTGTGTAATATTATCAACTCTTGTCTAGGCAGTTTAGGCATATGTACCTATGTATATTAAAAAAACAAGGAAACACCCCCTCAAACTATTAGCATCACTTCATGCTTTAATCTAGAGCACATCGTTTAATTGGTTTATTGAAACTACAAAGTTGTTACTTTACTGAAATTACAAAGTTGTGACTTTTATAGGTCGATTTGTTCCTTATTTTTATTGAAACTACATTATTGTTAATTTTATAGACCGATTTGTTATTTGCTTTATTGAAACTACAAAGTTGTGACTTTTATAGACAGATTTGTTATTTGCTTTATTGAAACTACAAAGTTGTTTCTTGTATATACAGATTTGTTATTTGCTTTATTGAAACTACAATGTTGTTACTTTTATAGACAGATTTGTACCTTTGCTTTATTGAAACTACAATAATGTGACTTTTATATACAGATTTATTATTTGCTTTATTGAAACTACAAAGTTGCTTCTTGTATAGACAGATTCGTACCTTTGCTTTATTGAAACTACAAAGTGGTTTCTTGTATAGACAGATTTGCTACTTGCTTTATTGAAACTACGAAGTTGTTACTTTTATAGACTCATTTGTTATTTGCTTTATTGAAACTACATTATTGTTACTTTTATAGACCTATTTGTTATTTGCTTTATTGAAACTACAAAGTTGTTTCTTGTAAAGACAGATTTGTACCTTTGCTTTATTGAAACTACAATGTTGTGACTTTTATATACAGATTTATTACTTGCTTTATTGAAACTACAAAGTTGTTACTTTTATAGACTCATTTGTTATTTGCTTTATTGAAACTACATTATTGTTACTTTTATATACAGATTTATTACTTGCTTTATTGAAACTACAATGTTGTTACTTTTATAGACATATTCGTACCTTTGCTTTATTGAAACTACAAAGTTGTTACTTTTATATACAGATTTATTATTTGCTTTATTGAAACTACAAAGTTGTTTCTTGTATAGACAGATTTGTACCTTTGCTTTATTGAAACTACAATGTTGTTACTTTATAGACAGATTTGTTATTTGCTTTATTGAAACTACAAAGTTGTTACTTTTATAGACAGATTTGCTACTTGCTTTATTGAAACAACAATGTTGTGACTTCTATAGACCGATTGTTCCTTTACTGAAACTACAAAGTTGTTACTTTATTGAAACTACAAAGTTGTTACTTTATTGAAACTACAATGTTGTGCCTTGTTTCATGTTTTTTGACAATACAACTTTGTGGTCCACTTTCGGGTTGATTTGCCCTTTGATACTTCGTGCATTGTCTACCAGACCTAATATTTTCAGAATGTGTACGAGGGCAACAGACTTTTCCTGGAATTTTCCATTATTTGATTCCAAACTTCATTTAATACAGTGTAATAAATATTGCTGATGAATTAAGCAACACTACAGTCTGCAAATATGGCCATGAACAGTTTAAAATACTTAGGCAATGTTATGATGCACGATAAGATATTCAATTCCTGTTCCAGGAACTACTTGGATGGGATACATTGAGATACGAGCGACAGGAATCTAAGGAAATATCTTTTATTACCAAGGCCATGCTCTGGATCACAAGCTGGTCTTTTTTTTTCAAAGACCCTTTAAGATGAAATTTCTAGGAGAACCTGAGAAAAATGATTTGGCAAAAACTAACACGTGACATATCGGGTAAAAAAACGCAAAAAATTCCACCCTGCTATACAATCAATTGTCGCAAGTATATTACCATAATCTAAATTGATACAGAAAGTTCCCCTCGTGATAACATTTTCTTGGTTTTTTATTCATTGTGTCGGATCGTTTCTGTTATTACATATAATATTATAAAGATGCCATCTACTATGGCAACTGCAGAATTTCATGTCGAAGACATTATGGCTGAAGAAAAAAACTGTTATGGACGTGTAGGGCACAATAAAAAAGTCTATCATGTTTTAAATTATTAAGCCAATATAAAATAAAGTCACCGTGACCTACTTAACAACTAAATGCGATCGTTGTTTTTGGCTAATTTTATCGTATACAGGTACCCAAAGTATATATATGCAAAACATAAAGCTTGTCGGTGATAGCCATCTGAAGTCCCATTTGCACCCTTCCTTTATGAGAACCTGTCTGTATTTTGTGCATATTCCTGAATGCATATGCATTTTAATACTATTTTATAGGAAAAAAGTAAACAATCAGCACAAAATAATTTTATTTCTTTATTTCATTTGAAAAGACATGCACAGTAGTACACTGGTATGTCCTCCGATACTATACATATATACATGTGACTATTTACATATTTACATCCACACTCGTAAGGCCCTTCACAACAAGAGGACAAATTACACCTTAAAGCTTATACATCATAAATACTTGTATACATTGTTTTTATTACAGAGTAAACATCAGAAAATATAGCAACACCTGCCTGCTCTAACAGTCATTGGTGTGATAAACTGTCTGTCCGTGAAGGGCTAAACATCCTCTTTTACTCTCACACGTATCACAAATATTCATCACAGATGAGAAAACCTCGGCATTGCTTCACCCATCAGTAACCTCCTATTACACAATGTACAGGAACCGTTTGTTCATGTGATTGAAATATACTTGGGTTTATTATATAATTGGGTTTTCTTTCTAACCACTAAACAAAACAAAAACAAAAAATAAACATAATAGTAAAAAAAGCCTTCTTTTCATGATTTTTAGACAAATGCTGAGGCTGAAATAATTGTTATAACATCTTCTTGAACAACATGAAGAAACGGTCCTAAAATATCTTTTTAAAAACCTTGCCTAATTAAATATATCACAGATCAATGCTTTCACCATTATTTCATTATAAACTAAACAAGTTTAAATGAATTGGTATCAAAGGCTTGTCAACAACCCTTTTTAATTTGTTTTTCAGTTTAAAATGAAATGCTAGATTATCAACATATAACAAGAATAAAGGAGAATCATTAGGTATACATATTGTGTGAAGATAGTTCTCAGAGCACTACCTCATAGTGAGCTAACTCTATGTGCCGATCATCAAGGCACACACAAACAATGCTGATACATGATCAAGGCACTGGCAAAGAATAGCACTCCTTTTATATAGTTCCTGTCCTAGAATGCACTTATGAAATGAAATGCTGTGGGTAGATCCATCGTTTTATTGATGTGATATCTCCTCCTCACAGTATAGTTCTGGTTGCCAACACAGTCCTCCTAGCGGTCTATATCCCAGCATCAGATTAAAACCTTTTACAGTTTTCGGTCTAGATGTGTTTTCTTTATTGAGAATCTCTGTGGGAGTTGAAAGCTGAAGGCATCAGTATAAAAAAATCAGACAGTAGCCTTTCAAATTTACTGATATTCATACTTTCAGGTGTTTTAGGGGGGGTATATGTGATCTACCTCTGTGAAATAACTTAAACATATGGAGAAGGGTCTATATTTCAATAGGTTTAGGTACAGGTTTACGAATGTGCCGCATTGTAGATCCTGCCTCTGTGGGTTTGAAGGGTGCATGTCTGCCATAAGGCCTGGGAATGGGAAGTTCACTGTCATCATCAGGGATGTAGGCGTTGGGTCGGGGGTCGGCCGTGGTGGTTGTCCCTCCTGCAATCTTGTACTGCTCTTCCTCCTCCTGAATCTGTAGAATGACAAAGATAAACAGTGGGATAAAATAATTAAAAAAACACACTAAAACAATGAAACAGGATTCATAAGTTTGTCAATAGGAAACATATTTTGATTCTGTACCTTATTTAAAATATTTACATATTCTTGTAGAAACCATTGCAAATTACAAATTCATCAATCGAGCAACACTTTATAATTCATTGAAGAGAGCAAACTGTTAATCATTTGCTACAAAGCAGCACAAAACAAAATTAGTTTGCTCTCAAAAATACCTTTTTTCTTCAAATCCATTTGTAAATTACAAATATAGAACAAGCCCAACACTTACCAATCTATTCTCCTCTCTGTCTCTCAGGATTCTGTCTTCAATTGACATGAGGCGCTGCCAATCATGTTCATACTCATCACATGGCGGCTCACCCTTCTCCATTCTGATGTAGCACTGTTCTAGGTCTGCTTCCTTCTCCTTCAGAGCCTGTTGCAGCTGAAGTGCTGTCGCTGTGTTCATAGAGAGCTCTGCCACCAGGCCTCTCATCTTCCTGTATGCATCCTTGATTTTTGCTTGTAATGCATTCACCTGGAGTAAGGAAATTAAACAAGGATGAGAGGTGGCTATATTAACACCAATCAAACACGACCTTAGCTGAAATCAAACTTGTCATGATACCCTTCTTCAGAACGCTATTAACATGGAAGTCTCTAAAATCATAGAGAAAAAGTGTCTGGGATATGATGAACTCAAAGATCAGCATGCAAACCAAATAATGAAAACAAAACTATTTAGATTACTAATTACATGCAGAAGAAGAAAACGAAAACAGTGTCTTCTTTTTAACAAGATTCCAAACTTCTTAATTTTGTAACAATTTTACATACAAAAATGTTGAATTAATTTGGGGAACTCCTGTCCTAGAAAATTAATTTAAAAGTTGTTCACTGCATTGCTAGTGGTTCTTGATAGGAAATTGTTCCTTATTTTAGCAATGAGTCCTTATTCCACTATACAGATAGTGTTTCATCAAATATACAACTGTTATGATTCCGTACTCTGACATCTAAAGGTTGTTATTGAAATGAATCATTGCTCATGGTAAGAAAATCTATGTAAAATTGAGATCTGGCAAACAAACACAACCTACATTTTTGGCAAGTCCAAGTGTATCATCTTTGCCGTCCTCGGCCTTCACCTTGACTCGACTTGCAAGTCGTTGTACCTGCTCAAATATCAGGTCCTTCTCCAACAAAAGTTCCTCCTTCTCTGCAAGTCTCATTTCCAACTGAAATCACAGACCAAACATCAGTTTACACAGATTTACATCAAGATGACAAGGACTAAACATCAAGAGGACTCAGATTAAACATCAAGAGGACTCAGATTAAACACACAGGTACAGATAAAACAGGTCAAACATCAAGGTGACCACAAGGAATATAAAGTAACATTACCTAATGTTTCATTACAATGACTTAACATTGTGATACATAGGAAATAGTTGTGCAACAATTAGATCCAATAACAGGATCACATTCATTGTAATAAGAATATTTATGAACATTCCTGTTATTCATAACAACTTGCAATTACTAATGGCATGTACAGAGTAAATCAAATATTGTGTCCTAGATATCATATTAAAATTAGAGACAAATTATGTTTTGCTCAAATTCACATTTTTAGCGATTCATGTACAATGAGCTCTGCTTTGCAAAAGAAGTAATGTTCAAACCTAATGCTCAAATTATTTACGTTTTCAATCTTGTCCTGTAACTCAGCTGGTGGCAGGTCCTTGCCTTCCAGTGAACGAACACGTGTCTCATCATACGGGTTCTCCAGCTCCTTCTCCAGGTCCAGCATGCGGTCCTGGCACTGTTGTAGCTGTACTCACAAAGAAAACACATTGCCCTTTAGGGTATTGTCCAAAAATAACCAGTTTGTCTGGACAAGGGTTAGATTGGAAAGAATTGGTTAAATCTTACCAGAAATATTAGTTTTGCTATCGGTTTTAACACATGTACACTGAAAATAGAATAATTTACACATTTTTTTACAATACGTTATTTCCTAACAATTATTGTTCCTGCAAAATGCGCTTCACAAGAAGCTTTATTTTGAGACATGAAAAATATGTTACACAGAAACTCCTATTGTTTAATTGTGTCTGTATCATTAACAGATTTACCTGACTAAAAGCAGGTAATGTTAATTGCGATAGTTGAACAAGGAGGGTGGATGGCGGGTGGGGCGAATCAGGCGGGACCTACCTGTATCTGCAGGGTGACAAGCTCTTGCTCCAGGGCATGTTTGTGTGGCATGTTTTTCCTCAACAGTTCTATGGAGCGTTTCTCCTCGTTCAGCTGCATCTTAAGGAAACGGATCTCCTCTTCCTTGGCCTGCAGCTCCACATTACCATTCCTTATCATTTGTTCTAAAAGTCGAAAAAAAAAAAAACTAAGATACCGATATTCCATCATGATTATAGAAAATTGACTGTGAGGGCTCAAACCATTCTAATATACAGATTGAAAAAAATCCAAAATAATCATTCCCAAATTAATTAATTCAAAATTCATGAAAATTTTGGAAAAATCAAATTATATTGCATTACTATAATATTTCTTCTGCATCAATGAAATTCTTTCAGATGAGTTAAATAATCAGAAAAAAATCCCTGAGGAATAATATCTGTCAATAATGTTATTTCTAAAGTTGTTTTACAATACCTACAGATCATTATACAGGAGAGTGTTGGTTATGGCAGTCCCTAGTGATTACAGAAAGCTTACCTTCAATGTTCACTTTTTCGTAGAATATGCACACTTCTTCTTCTCTTTCTATCAGCTTCAAACCTCTGAAGTGAAAGACATGACACATCACATTAATCTCTGATACCTGATAATACAGATATGGGAATTTATCTGGACAAATTAGATTGGGGAAATCTGGACAAATTAGATTGGGGAAAAGGGAACCTTTTGGAAATGAGTGTGTTTAACAGACCAACAAGGGAAGGGGATAAAGCCCTGAGAACTGTTCTGTGAGTTCTCCAACCAGATGACAGGTCTGAAGATCGGTGACCATTTATATGCCTACTTAATTCCATGTTTGGCAATGAGTGAGGGCAATGAGTGAGGGCAATGAGTGAGGGTGATGCGGTAATATAAAATATAGTACATGTAATACATGCTTTTGAATGTTTGTGTATAGTGTTTCTTATGTGTATGTCTAAAAGTCTCGACAAGGTGGGGTACTGAGTATTATAAGTGTTATTTAGCCATTAATGTAATATACACTTGTTGTACAGTTGGTACATTATGTTGTTTATGAAACCATAAAATTGAAAAATAGTAACAACAACAAAATTATACAAGATCCCACACTTACAGATTACTCTGTCATAATCAACTAGCACAAAAAAATGTTGAAAAAATTCTATATATTGGTATTGAAATATTATTGTTCACCCCAGTATTTCTTTTTTAATATCAATGAGATCGCTGAAATATAAGGGCTTGCCTTTGACAAATTCTGATCATAATACATGTGTACAATGAACGATGGAAACACTGATCAATATCTAACACCCTTTTGCGGCATCTGTCTTTATTCACTTCACATCTATATTTATCAATCTAAATTCTTGCAGCATTTTTCCCTTGTCTATATTCAGGACATACCTGTCGTTTCGTTTCTGTTCCTCCTTGGAGTATCTGTTTCTCAGTCGCGTGCTCTCCTCCTCGCCCGCGTTCATCATATTGTTCAGTTTATTTAAGTCCATTTTCTGCTGTTCCACTGTAGCTTTCATGTCGTTGTAAATGTTAGATTGTTTAGCCACTTCGTTTCTCAAGCTGTCTCTCATCACAATACTGTTCATGTGTTTTAATCTGTGTTTCTGTAACTCTCTGGTAAATAAAATAAAATATTGGATTCATTTTTTGTATTAAGATCTTATACACAATGCACGAATATAAAGTCAATAAAAATCCTATACACAATGCACGAATATATAGTCAATAATTCTTGTCAGAACAAATTCAGAAAGTGTTATTTCAAAGCTGGATTAAGATATAATAATTTCAACCATATTTTGGGTTTATTTACATTGAAACCTGGTTCTATAGTACAAATGAAAGTTTTAATTTGATCTCAAAGTAATTTCTTTAATGCAAATTTGAACCTCAAGTTAATTGTCCTGGCCTGAATGAAGCCTGTCAAACACTATGTGCTCCTAATTTATCTGTGTTATAGAGCTATTTTTACCTGTCTTTTTGCATGACGGCAGTGCGTAGAATTTCCATCTCATTCTGTAGGATTTTGATCTTCTCCTTCATCTCCGCCGCCTTCTGTGTACTCGTCTGTATCAGATTCACACACTTATTCCTCTCGTTCTTAATCAACTCATACAACTTTGCAAACTCTTTCAACCTGTAAAATTGAAAATGCAACTTTAATTTACCAGGATATCTTACTATGTAAGCAAATTCGGCATCTCCCACTATTAAACAGCAATGAAATTTAAAATGCAGCTTAAATTTACCAGGATATATTATTATGTAAGCAAATGGGTCAACTCCCCATATTATGCAGCGATACAATTTAAAATGTACAAAAACTCCACAAAAGAAACAATCAAATATTTTATGTAAACGCTGAAAACTTGTTAAATGCAGACTTTTCCTGTACTTATTTTATAGAGTGTCTCTTGCTTTCCTATTGATTCAGTCCTCTGAAATAATGTCTTACTTTATTTGCATCTCCTGGTGTTTTTTGTGATGGTCCTGTATTTGAAGCTCCTTGGTTTTCAGGTCTTCAATGGCTTTGTGGAATCTCATTTCTGCCCTCATAAAGTCCCTGGCTTTTTGTTCTCTCTCATCAGCCTGAAAATTAACATATACATAAAAATTATTTTAAATGTTTCAATGACTTTTTGTTACAAGTCAGACATTACTCCTTCAATAGTAAGTATTATTTAGGTGTTGAATCACCATGAAAAATAAACTAGAAAGATGAGTTTAGTTGCTAAAAACAATACTTAATCTTAGATAGAGTTCAGAATAATAGTATATATACTGAACCTTACATAATAACAACTCCTTACAGAATTATCCTCTATTGAAGGCGACAAAATGCAATTAAAATAAGTGAAGAGGATGATTCAGTATTAGTTATTCTCCGTACCTTTATGGCGGCGAGTCGAGTAAGTTCGACCACCTCTATCCTCAGGTCACTCTGATCATATAACAGATTCTGTTCTTCAGCTGCACTCGCTTCTAGCTTCACGTGTTCCACTGCTGTCAGATTGTTCTACAAACACCAAAACATTAATATCTCATACCTCGGAATCAATTCAATCACTGAAATTTACTTGAAATACTTTTTAGATTACATATTTTCTTTAAAAAAAATAACAACTTTTCGTTTGTGTCTTTTCTTTATAATCTCAGTATACCATCAAATGAAATGAAAAATACTTTGTCTTCTTGTGATCATTTTAAATTAAGTCCCAGCTGGTAAATACCAAGGTTTCATTCTTAACTAGCATGCTTTGAAAATCCCACTGGAACCTGTTGTTTTCAAGAAGATCAGTTACCAGTGTATTATATAAGTTTGCAATACCCATCTCAAAGATTTTAGTAATTTTCTGTATGTTTTATATTAATAATAATAATAATAATATACAACATTTCTATTGTTCTTTGAGGATGCAGACAAGCCTACCTGTTGAGCCAGAGAACGTTTTGTATGTTCTACTTCCTTAGCTAGTTCCTCCCTCTTCTTCTGTAGAGTACCATCATCTTTTGGCAGGGAATCAATCTGGTTAAACACGAATATCATTTTCTGAATAAATATTTCACTTGTAAAGGGCAGTAATTGTTATCTTTTCAACATGTAGTACCTATAAGAACATATGGTCTCTACTTTATACTTGTTCGTGATCTGATAATCTACTTTAATAGCTAATATACAGAGTAATCAGATAAAAATTGTCAAAAATTGTATATTTAAAATTTCATCATTCTTATCCAACTTGAAATAATCTATACACATGGAAAAAATGAATTAAATTGAAAAAAACATATTTAAAAAAAAAAATAGAGTCCTCCATAACTTTGTTTAACCCAGGTATAATTTAAGACCATTGTCAGCCTTACCAAATTAATGTAACCATTATATAAACACAATAATGAATTAATTGGTGTAAAATGATACTTACTTGACCTTTGACTTTTTCGTTAACTGACTTTGTGTGTGCCAGGCTTTCTTCAGCAACTTTAAACTGAAGTTCAGCCTTCTTTAAATTTCTCAGGTCCCTATCCTTTTCTCGACTCTTTCTTGAATGAACATCGTGTGTGTTTTTCTTTTCCAAGTGTATGTGTCTCAAACTCATGTCAAGCGTTGACCTACACAAAAAATGATATGTATCAGAACAAACTCATGTCAAGCGTTGACCTACACGAAAAATGATATGTATCAGAACAAACACATCAAGCGTTGACCTACACAAAAAATGATATGTATCAGAACAAACACATGTCAAGCATTGACCTACACAAAAAAGTATATGTATCAGAACAAACTCATGTCAAGCGTTGACCTACACAAAAAATTATATGTATCAGAACAAACTCATGTCAAGCGTTGACCTACATAAAAGTATCACACCAAACTCATGTCAAGCGTTGACCTACACAAAAAATTATATGTATCAGAACAAACTCATGTCAAGCGTTGACCTACACAAAAAATTATATGTATTGGAACAAACTCATGTCAAGCGTTGACCTACACAAAAAATGATATATATCAGAACAAACACATCAAGCGTTGACCTACACAAAAAATGATATGTATCGAAACAAACACATCAAGCGTTGACCTACACAAAAAATTATATGTATCAGAACAAACACATGTCAAGCGTTGACCTACACAAAAAATGATATGTATCGAAACAAACACATCAAGCGTTGACCTACACAAAAAATTATATGTATTAGAACAAACTCATGTCAAGCGTTGACCTACATAAAAGTATCACACCAAACTCATGTCAAGCGTTGACCTACACAAAAATTTATATGTATCAGAACAAATTCATGTCAAGCGTTGACTTACACGAAAAATGATATGTATCAGAACAAACTCATGTCAAGCGTTGACCTACACAAAAATTTATATGTATCAGAACAAATTCATGTCAAGCGTTGACCTACACGAAAAATGATATGTATCAGAACAAACTCATGTCAAGCGTTGACCTACACAAAAAATTATATGTATCAGAACAAACTCATGTCAAGCGTTGACCTACACAAAAAATTATATGTATCAGAACAAACACATCAAGCGTTGACCTACACAAAAAATGAAATGTATTGGAACAAACACATCAAGCGTTGACCTACACAAAAATGTATATGTATCAGAACAAACACATCTACGACTGGAATTTAATGGCTAGGAAAAAATAAAACTTTGAAACATGTTCAATATCTTATTGTCAACCATTTATGACTCTGAAAGTGCAATGCTGTTTAATTTGACCTTTAACTCAAGACCTTGACCTTGATAAGCCTACCTGTCTCCCATGAGTACAGCTTCTCTGTCCTTGGCAAACTCAAAATCCTTGATAAGCATGTTGTATTCTCGCTCTTTTTGGTCAAGCATGGCCCTTGTTTTAGCAAGTTCTGACTCGGTATCAAACTTTTCTGTCTGTAATGCATTCTTCTTGGCCTCCATACCTTTAGATTCTTCAAGAATCTCTTGGTATTCCTCATCTAGTTTTGTTAATTTTTTTTCCACCTCGCTACAACACAAACATATCAAAATGTATAGGGGAAAAGCAATAACAGGGATTTTCTTGCAAAAAATATGCTGTTTTACTCACATGCATAAAAGACAAAGAAAGAGGAAGGACTTTAGGCACAAAAATTTCATTTGCTATTGATATATATTTTGTTCTTTTTTTTAAAATAAAAGTTGACACAATTTGATTGCTTGCCATCAATAGTTTTGGTCCCTTTTGCAAACATTTTTTTTACCTGGCTGGACTAGGATCACAATTTCGATCCCTCAGAATTTCACTTATTGAATTTTAACATGTATGAAATGTCAATAGATTGGCAGACATCTATCAATACTATATCTCCATGGCAGGCCAGTAACTATCTACTGAGTTATATTTTCCAAAATTGTTTACAACCAACCCAATAATATATATCTTTAAACGGAAATGAAATTGTTATAATATTGTTTTTATTTTATTTATAAGGACAGATGATTTATAATATTTTTCTCTGAAAATTAAATATTCATAACTCACATCTTTTGTCTGTGCAACTTGTCAGCCTCTTTGGCTATCTGGTTTGGAAGTGTGTTGATTTGTACAAGGTCACCCTGAAATAATCACATGCATATATATGTGTCTGTCAAGCTTTGTGAGTACAATACAAAATACAGAAATCGTAATTATTTGAAAAGTTTGTTATCAAGCTTTACTGAATTATTGTAGATTAGTATTGGGAATGTCAATGATGAAAACCACTGTTAATGTTAAATACCACAGCAGAAAAACACACATAAATGACAACATCTGTCTATTTCAGATTTGATTTTAATGACTGCATGAATGTCCATTTATCTAATTTATTCATAATTTACATCATTAGGACCATATGTTTTTTTGGAAGACCTGCTGAAATGCTGTTCTGTGGAGCTGCTGTAGATCTAATGTTAATACCTTGAGATTTTCCATCTCTGACTTGAGCTGGTCGTATTCTTTTTGTTCAGTAACACACTGCCGATGGGTCGTGTCCATGTCCTCACGGAGTGTCTTATTCTCCATTTGACGTTGCACAATCTCTTTCTTCATATCCTCGCTAGCAGCCTGTATTTCCTTCAGTTTCTTTTCAATCTCCTGCACAGGCAAAAGTTTTATTAGAATGGTTTTATAACATTTTACTGCAGTATTAAAATGGATAGTTTGGAAACATCCCTTGTCTCCAGTTTAATAGGAAAATGAAGGAGGTTTCATCATTTTTTCCAAATATTTTACTAACTTGGTGGAATGTTTGTGTAACTTTTAAGAAATTATAAGACATTATTGACTGATACATTTTTGATAAAATCATTTGCTTTTTGTATTTAGAAGAATTTTCATTAATCTCTGTGTTAAGTATGTTTACAAGCTGACCAGCTGACTGAGTTTTAATCTACTGATTTTGCATTATCAGTTTAAATCTACGCCTACATGCATGTCAGCCATATCAGAAAGGAAAACGAACCCCTTGTTTTGGCATTCTTGAATATTCTCTCTCCATTATTTTCTTCTCTTCTGACAACCTGCATAAAAAAAAGAAGAAAAAATCCTGTAAAACAGTAAAAGGACCAAACAGCTGTTCAATAAACAGACTGGTGACAACTGCATCAGCAAAAACAGCAGAAGCTGTGTAAGGCAGTCAAATCTCTAAACAAAGCTAATAGCTTCATTATTATCAACATGTATTCAAATTCTTCAAATTGATTAATTCCACCTTTTTTCCATTCTTCTTTTTCTTTAATTTGAGTGTTCAGTTCTTTCCTGATTGTACCCTATGCAAATGTTGACAAAAAATGTTTTCCCCCTTAAAAGATGCAAATAGAAAACACATTATGTTGTCATAAGCTAAACAGACTTTATGCCACAAGGTGTACTAGATGGGTGGTTAACGAGTGAAATGGTTCTATTATTTCTCTATGAATCATATTAAACTTACGTCTCCAGCTCATACTGCTGTTGGTATTCTCGTTCCTTGATCTGGGCATATTCATTGTTGTGTTTCATTAGCTGCTGTCTCATTTTGGTGACCTCTGTGTTGGAACTGTCCGGAAAGTTATCTCCCTTTTCAAGTTCAGACCTCTGTCTTTCCAATTCAACGGTGTGATCTTTGGCAGTATTCAGTAGGGAAGCCTCACTCTCCCGAGTCCTTCAAAACATCATTCTCACAATATTACTTTTGAAAGGAGTCAGTTTGTATCCGGAAACATTAAGTTTTAATGAGTCATTTTGTATCACAAAATATTTTCAGTTTTGATTGCATGTGGTTATAGTTTGTAATAACGTGAAATATAGTACAGTGTATCAAATGTCTGTTTGCAATGAAGACCTTTTTCACTAGTTCCTTCAAATTAGTTCTGTCTGGACACAATCCTAGTATGTTGGACTGAACATTTTGAATTACTGCTCCATAGGTTGTTAGGGACTCCAGAAATTTGTAACTGTAAATACAATGGCCTCCCATTCGAAAACATGTATAGTGTTATGGTACTGCATACATTCATAAGAATGTACAAATAATGAGTCTTTACTTACTTTTTAAGAGTTTCATGAAGATCAGTATACTTTGCTTTCAAAAGCGCAACTTTTGTTCCTGTAAGTTTGCCTTCATGAAACAGCTGTAAAGAAACAAAAGGTTGATTATTATGTATACGTGTTTCAGGACCAGGTCATGTATTAGGACCATTAACAACAGGGCATCCACACCATACTTAAAGTTTGCGTTACAGGTAATTATAACTACGTCTGTGGCAGCATCCATGCCATACTTAAAGTTAGCGTTACAGGTAATTATAACTATGTCTGTGGCAGCATCCACGCCATACTTAAAGTTAGCGTTACGGGTAATTATAACTACATCAGTGGCAGCATCCACGCCATACTTAAAGTTTGCGTTACAGGTAATTATAGCTACGTCTGTGGCAGCATCCACACCAAACTTAAAGTTAGCGTTACAGGTCATTATAGCTACGTCTGTGGCAGCATCCACCCCATACTTAAAGTTAGCGTTACAGGTCATTATAGCTACGTCTGTGGCAGCATCCACACCAAACTTAAAGTTTGTGTTACAAGTAATTATAGCTACATCTGTGGCAGCATCCACGCCATACTTAAAGTTAGCGTTACAGGTAATTATAGCTACGTCTGTGGCAGCATCCACGCCATACTTAAAGTGTGCGTTACAGATAAGTATAACTACGTCAGTGGCAGCATCCACGCCATACTTGAAGGTTGTGTTACAAGTAATTATAGCTACATCTGTGGCAGCATCCACGCCATACTTAAAGTTAGCGTTACGGTCTTTATAGCTACGTCTGTGGCAGCATCCCCGCCATACTTGAAGGTTGTGTTACAGGTAATTATAGCTACTTCTGTGGCAGCATCCACGCCATTCTTAAAGTTAGCGTTACAGGTAATTATAACTACGTCGGTGGCAGCATCCATGCCATACTTAAAGTTTGCATTACAGGTAAGTATAACTACGTCGGTGGCAGCATCCACGCCATACTTAAAGTGTGCGTTACAGGTAAGTATAACTACGTCTGTGGCAGCATCCACGCCATACTTAAAGTGAGCGTTACAGGTAATTATAACTACGTCTGTGGCAGCATCCACGCCATACTTAAAGTTAGCGTTACAGGTAATTATAACTACGTCGGTGGCAGCATCCACGCCATACTTAAAGTTTGCATTACAGGTAAGTATAACTACGTCGGTGGCAGCATCCACGCCATACTTAAAGTGTGCGTTACAGGTAAGTATAACTACGTCTGTGGCAGCATCCACGCCATACTTAAAGTGTGCGTTACAGGTAAGTATAACTACGTCTGTGGCAGCATCCACGCCATACTTAAAGTTAGCGTTACAGGTAATTATAACTACGTCGGTGGCAGCATCCATGCCATACTTAAAGTTTGCATTACAGGTAAGTATAACTACGTCGGTGGCAGCATCCACGCCATACTTAAAGTGTGCGTTACAGGTAAGTATAACTACGTCTGTGGCAGCATCCACGCCATACTTAAAGTGTGCGTTACAGGTAAGTATAACTACGTCTGTGGCAGCATCCACGCCATACTTAAAGTTAGCGTTACAGGTAAGTATAACTACGTCTGTGGCAGCATCCACGCCATACTTAAAGTTTGCGTTACAGGTAATTATAACTACGTCTGTGGCAGCATCCACGCCATACTTAAAGTTAGCGTTACAGGTAATTATAACTACGTCTGTGGCAGCATCCACGCCATACTTAAAGTTAGCGTTACAGGTAATTATAACTACGTCTGTGGCAGCATCCACGCCATACTTAAAGTTAGCGTTACAGGTAATTATAACTACGTCTGTGGCAGCATCCACGCCATACTTAAAGTTAGCGTTACAGGTAAGTATAACTACGTCTGTGGCAGCATCCACGCCATACTTAAAGTTTGCGTTACAGGTAATTATAACTACATCTGTGGCAGCATCCACGCCATACTTAAAGTTAGCGTTACAGGTAATTATAACTACGTCTGTGGCAGCATCCACGCCATACTTAAAGTGTGCGTTACAGGTAAGTATAACTACATTTGTGGCAGCATCTACGCCATACTTAAAGTTTGCGGTACAGGTAATTATAACTACGTCTGTGGCAGCATCCACGCCATACTTAAAGTTTGCGTTACAGGGAAGTATAACTACATTTGGGGCAGCATCTACGCCATACTTAGCATCTACGCCATACTTAGCATCTACGCCATACTTAGCATCTACGCCATACTTAAAACTACGTCAGTGGCAGCATCCACGCCATAGTTACAGGTAATTATAACAACGTCTGTGGCAGCATCTGCGCCATACTTACGCCATACTTAAAGTGTGCGTTACAGGTAAGTATAACTACGTCTGTCGCAGCATCCATGCCATACTTAAAGTTAGCGTTACAGGTAAGTATAACTACGTCTGTGGCAGCATCTACGCCATACTTAAAGTTAGCGTTACAGGTAATTATAACTACGTCGGTGGCAGCATCCACACCATACTTAAACTTTGTGTTACAGGTAATTATAGCTACGTCGGTAGCAGCATCCACGCCATACTTAAAGTTTGCGTTACAGGTAATTATAACTACGTCTGTGGCAGCATCCATGCCATACTTAAAGTTAGCGTTATAGGTAAGTATAACTACGTCTGTGACAGCATCTACGCCATACTTAAAGTTAGCGTTACAGGTAATTATAACTACGTCAGTGGCAGCATCTACGCCATACTTAAACTTTGTGTTACAGGTAATTATAGCTACGTCGGTAGCAGCATCCACGCCATACTTAAAGTTAGCGTTACAGGTAAGTATAACTACGTCTGTGGCAGCATCCACGCCATACTTAAAGTTTGCGTTACAGGTAAGTATAACTACGTCGGTGGCAGCATGCATGCCATACTTAAAGTTTGCATTACAGGTAAGTATAACTACGTCGATGGCAGTCACATTCTAGTGATCATTGCTTCACATTCAAAAGCTTACTTTTTTTCAGCAGCAAGCATACAGAATTTAGAACACAACATTTTTGGGTCTCTTCACTGTTCTGTTAAAATGAAGAAAAGACTCTAAACTAGGAGACTAATATACAGCAATAGGTCAAACTGTAGCATGTAATGAAACAAAACAAGTAAAATGGACCTTGGCATTCACATGAGTTTCATGGATTTCAATGTTACTGGAATACTTGTACCAAGTTTGAAGATAACACCTTAATTTATGCTAAAGTCTAAATAGAAAATATCTCAGTCAATTAAAGGCCATAGCATCCGCTTTGATTTTTGCATTAACAAGAAAAGTGAGAATTTTTAACCAGGACCATCTTAAGATGTGTCAGATGTCTCAGTAATTCATAGCCCAGATTGGCCAAGTTAGATTTTCAGATCAGTATGAAAAGTCAAAAAACACTTGGCGTGACCTCAAAAGGAATATTTGTACCAGATGTGTTGTCAACCACTATAGCAATTCTTAAGAAGCAGTCACATACTAAGTTCTATACTGATCCAGTCAAATACTAAGTTCTTTACTGTCCCAGTCACATACTAATTTCTATACTGTCCCAGTCACATACTAAATTCTATACTGTCCCAGTCACATACTATGTTCTATACTGTCCCAGTCACATACTAATTTCTATACTGTCCCAGTCACATACTAAATTCTATACTGTCCCAGTCACATACTAAGTTCTATACTGTCCCAGTCACATACTATGTTCTATATTGTCCCAGTCACATACTAAATTCTATAATGTCCCAGTCACATACTATGTTCTATACTGTCCCAGTCACATACTAAGTTCTATACTGTCCCAGTCACATACTATGTTCTATACTGTCCCAATCACATACTAAGTTCTATACTGTCCCAGTCACATACTTATTCTATACTGTCCCAGTCACATACTATGTTCTATACTGTCCCAGTCACATACTAATTCTATACTGTCCCAGTCACCTACTAAATTCTATACTGTCCCAGTCACATACCAAGTTCTATACTGTCCCAGTCACATTCTAAGTTCTATACTGTCCCAGTCACATACTAAGTTCTATACTGTCCCAGTCAAGGAATACAATAAATCACAACTGTAGACATTGTGCCAATTCAAAACGAGTTTCCAAAAATAAGACATCAAATTAAAGATGATAAATTATTCACTAAGGTTTTATTATTGTGTACAGGAAGGAATCAATCAAATAACAATAACATTTTCAAGTTAACCGAGGTTGATAATAAAACCATGATTGGCCTCTCATTGTTTCCAGTCTGTTAAACACGAAGTAACACGCAGTACACCAATCAATAACAGTTTGAAAGGTTGTTAAGTTGGCAAGTTGATGGTGAAAGGATGTTGGACATTTCTTACAACCTATGACACTACTGCCACATCCATCAGTGAACAATATTTATAGCTGGATATCAGGCCATTTAATTCATTTTTTGACAACAACGGTCTCAAATGTTAACATAAACTGATACATTCCATGAACACTAAATAACAAACATTTCTGCACACCTGTCTCGGCCAGATGAAACAAATGTGACTGAGTTTCACTGCTAAAAATCAGAAACTTTGCAACATGTTTTCAACACTAGTGTGAACAAAGCGAAATTCAGATGATATATCAACAAAATATTTTGTAAACATTTTAAGATGGGTCTTACCTATATGCTAGCAGGTTTTTTTTTTATTCCTACCATGACGTCAAATATCACTCAAATGAGGTTGAAAGGTACCATGATGAATGGTTTATTTTAGAAATGTATAGGTACATGTCTGGAAACCAGTTGAATAATATAATCTGTATGAACTTGTATGAAAAATCGCACATGAAATAATTCCCTGATATATATACAAAAAATATTTAATATCTCAGAAAGACTTTGAGAAATCAGCTGAAAAGCACATTTTGTTTTGTAAGCAATCCTTTGGCATATATATTTAATCTGAGAAAGCTGTCATAATATTAGGTAGACCTATCCCTCAGTTCAGAATTTTAAACTCAAGCACATGCATCATGTTCAAAATACAGTTTAACTAAACCTTACCCAGATAATCCAGAGAGCCAATGTATATCTAACCTTGGTACTCATGTTTACTGCATCGTTACTCTCATGATGAAAAATAATAGCAGTAAACACATGCCACTGGAAATCCATATGTTATATAGAGAATAATACATGCCTTTTTCCATATCACACCCAGTATCAACCCAAGACTGCAATATCAGCCCAAGGGCCGAAGGTTGATACATACAGAGAGAATAATACATGCCTTTTTCCATATCACACCCAGTATTAACCCGAGACTGCAATATCAGCCCAAGGCCCGAGGGTTGATATTGGTCGAGGGTTGATACTGGGTGTGATATGGAAAGGCATGTTTTATTCTGTTTATTATATACTTACTAATAAAAACTACTATCTTATGATTTATTTTTATTTTTGAAATATTGAAAAACGAATTTTTTCTCCAAAAGGGGTGTGATATGGGTTTTGCTGGCTGATACTGGTTTTGGGGTGTGATACGGCGGGGGCTGATACGGGTTTTGGGGGGTGATACGGCGAGGGCTGATATAGGTTAGAGCAATTGTGTCGTATCGCAAATACAAAAACCCCGTATTTATTAGTAAGTATGTAATAATCACTAATAAAAACTACTATCTTATGATTTATTTTTATTTTTGAAATATTGAAAAACGAAAAAAAATCCGAAAGGGGTGTGATATGGGTTTTGCAGGCTGATACAAGTTTTGGGGTGTGATACGGCGGGGGCTGATACAGGTTTTGGGGTGTGATACGGCGAGGGCTGATATGGGTTAGAGCAATTGTGTCGTATCGCATACAAAAAACCCATATTTATTAGTAAGTATGTAATAAAATAGTTTCTCCAGTGATCTTCCTTGATCGGGATCATGCTGCAATTTGGACTATGAAATTATCATGATAAGAAATTCCGTTGTTACTTATGCCTGTAATAATAAAGGAACTGGCACCTTGTATGGGGTAAGATGTTAAACAAGAGGATAATACACACAAAAGTAAATGAGATATTGGCATTTCAGTTTGAGTTTACTGGTCACATTCAATCATTTTTACTTGGTGCTGTACCTTGCATTTTGAAAATGTTTAGGTCAAATTGATTATAGATGTATCTCTTCAATGATGTAAGAGTGCATGGGTGGCAACCCTGGTTGAAAATATTCATTTAAAGTGAGGAAGCCAGGTGCCAAAATTTATTTGGGACCAGTAAACTATGGTTGTTCCATAAATTTAAATTACCTCATCAAGACACTGGAAGGCAGGGCTTGCTGATACCTCCACCTGACTTTCCTCCTGCTGAACAACCCTTGGAGGCAAAGCAGAGATAACCGTCTCATATTTCTGGCCTGTACTTTCCTCTTCTTCTTTTTCATCATCTCTTTCTTCATCACTACCACGATCACTCATCTAACAAAAATAATACATTTATAAAAACTCAAAACATTTCTGTACCCAGGAAGTTTTCGTACTTTTTTTTTGTATTGATGTAAGATACTGAAGAATCAACAAACAGAGCACAAAAAGCAAACAAAGTGTCGGATTGACATGTTAGTCAAGTTGCCATTTAAATGTATAGAAATGACTTTCTGGTTATGAAAGTACTTAAAAACCTTAGGTTCCTAACCAGAAACGACTGTAATGTTACACCAAATCATTTTTTTTACTTTCCTTGAAAATCAAAACCAAATTATGATTTTGATTTTTCATTTTGCAGTCACAACTTGCATAACTAAATATCTACAGAATATTAACTAAATATTTATAGAATATTTTGCATTATACTTGCAATCTCTAATATTCAAAACTTACAGTAGATCGACTGAGTACTGTACTGTACAGACAACTAAAAGAAAATAAAAGGATTTGGAAGCAATTACTTTTCTGTCTCAGTATCTGCTTTACAACCATTTTTAAATACCGAACAACTTACTGAAGGTAACGATATCTCGTGATTATCAACCTATACAGTTATATAGAAAATATAGAAAATAATAAAATGTTTATATTAAGATCAATATCGACATTCACATCAAAAAACCACATGTCAACACAAAATAGATTATTCTCGAGATGAGATTTTCGAAAAATACTTTCACGGTTTAGTTAATAATTAAATCCAAATAGAGCCATATACACATCTCCTTTGCAGCGGAAAACGTACTTCGTGTTGTCCTTCTAATACTGCGAGGCTGGTGAGATCTCAAGTATCCTTCTTGCGTGCAGATGCACAGGTGAAAATTGATGATGATCGTTGACATCAATTATTCAAGACCATCATGGCGGCATAAATAGCAATTGTTTCTAAGGACGTTGCGCATGTGCGGATATAGATTATGATTATCGTAAACTCAAAATATATAAAGAGACAGTAAATGTCATCTATAGCTAAGAATATAACGAAATATTGCTTAAAACGATAAGAAATGTCATTTATTTATATTATTAAAGAGAAAAATGATAGTGTTTACGTCAACCGTCAACCAAAGATCATCTGTGTTACAAACAAACTTTGATTTTGGCGGAGAAACTTTCCGATTAAAGGGTTTTTAAGCACTAGATAAAACGCGTGCCTGCATGTTTCTGTTTGTGTGAAACACGTCTTGGCCAAAATGAAGATCGAAGAAGTAAAGAGTACGACAAAAACCCAGAGAATCGCATCACACAGCCATATAAAAGGTTTAGGATTGGATGAAAATGGATATGCTATCCAAACTGCCGCTGGCTTGGTGGGACAAGAGCTTGCTCGCGAGGTATAAACACCGACTTCAGTGTCGTAGCAGTCACAGTGGTTGTTATGTCAGTTCTCTAGAACATTCTTCACTCATAGTTTAGTTGTTACCTGATTTCACTTCAAGTTCACATATTAACTTCATTGTGTGTGTTTCATTCAAAAGTTTGAAATACAATATTAAAATAATTAGAGACGGGGGACATTTAAAAACCTTTTCTTAAAATCATGACCGACGTGTCTGAAGTCTGACAAGCTTAACGACCATTAAACACATTTACAAGATGTGATTTGTGAGAATGATCTAAAAAAAGAAAGATATGTTTGTGTTTGTTGTATTTAAATGGTACTATTATTCTGATTCCATCAATATTTACTGTAATAGGGGACGGGTCCAGAGAGTTGTCACTCCTTAATTCTTACAACTACACTGGATTGAGTGATAAGACAGGCAATTGATTAAACATCTCAACAAGGTGTTTTAAATACGACGTTATAATATACAAGGTGTGACGTAATTAACATCACCATAGTCATCAACACAGTTAAAGCTAGTTTGGTGTGGGGCCAGAGCGCACTGCTATATATAAAAATGTGGAATTCTCCAACACCGTTTGGTATCAGGGAGTTGTGAGGTGCTGACAACAAAAATCTACTATGACACAAGTCGCACAGCACATACCTCACGACTATATCGATAAATGGATTATTCATTTATCCAAATCAGCTCTTATTATCATCAACAGCTGCATAATTCCGTCAGTAGAGTCCTCCATTTTCAATTGTTCAAAATTTTCCACCTGATGGAACGCCATTTTTGTAGGTCATAGGGTGACTAACCAACAAACCGTACTTATCTGGACAGAAAACGGAATATATTATTCTTGTTTGGAAGATTTCCGGACCGCATCTTTTTTTTGATTAGTCACTCTCCGATACCAAACGCTTTCGGAGAATTCCACATTTTCATATAGCAGTGCACTCTGGCTCCACATGTACACCAAACATCTGTATGTCAAAATGTCTTAGTCTGGTGTTAGGGCCAGAGGTAACACGAGCTAAGTTAAAGCTTTCAAACATTTTGACAAGAAGATGTATAATAAGAGAATAGTGATCTTATTTATTTAAACAGTTATGAAATAGCTTGATACATTACAAATCTTAAATATTTGGTCTGTTCGACTAATCTAAAACATGTTGGTTGTAATTTAGCATAAATTTTGTTATGATACATACAAATTGAAAATCCCATATATCGTAACACTAATTGCAGTTTTATGGTTGACTGTGCTGTAAATGCAAGTAAATCTGTTTTCTACTAGTGCACTAGTACTGTGGTACATACAATGCACTGACGACCCAATGCTTGTTTAAGGAAATGACGCTCAGAAAGATTTGCTAGCTCATTTTCCATTTTCGTGTAATATGTATTTAGAAAACACTCAACCAATATCTTTTTTTAATATTCTATCCGTCTTACATTCAGCCATCTTCCATCACTTTAATTAAAATACCATCTAGAAATTGGCAGATTTATATCTGAAACAAACTTGTTGTTGGCCTGAAAGAACTGTTGTACAAATGCATGATGATCAGTTGCATAACATTTGAAAGATTACACTTCGCACATACAACTAACTAGCATTGTTACCAAAGACTCATTTCTACATGAAAAGTAAGTACATTTACAACACCTGGGACTGTCTCTGTTGAACAAGTTTTTAAGCACACAAAAAATGCTTTAATTTGTTAAATGTTTTCCATTGACATGCAAGACAATCAGAGATGTACATGTGACAAATAATCCAATGGTCGGGGGAAAAGACGACTGTTGAAATCCTCGGAATTAACCAGCACCACTCACAACGAAGAAAAGCCATTTATTTCAATGTTAATCAATGTAACACACACACTGATGGAGTTGTTTGTATCAGTATTTCTTGCGTAACATCATAATACAAAATTTTACCTTTAAACACTTACATTACTTGCAAATAAGTGAAATTTTTGAAGGTGGCGAATTACTTGCAAGTAAGTAAAATTTTTGAAGGTGGCGAAACTGCCTGCACCTTTGAGCAAAGCTACAGAAGACCTGATGACGTCACAAATGTTGCTGCATGACGTCATTCAGACATGTTTACAACAATGTTTATTAATAGGCATTCCAGTCAAATCTTCTTCTGTACAGACTACTGGTGCACATCAACATTTAGATACATGGATATTTGGACGAATTATTAACTGAAACCCTTACCTAATGTAACGATTTTCCCTGCACTTTGCATTATGACAGGTTACCCTGCACACATATATATATTGTTATTGTGTATTTCCAGGCAGCTGGTGTGGTGGTTGAGCTAATTAAATCAAAGAAGATGTCCGGTCGGGCTGTTCTCTTGGCGGGACCTCCTGGTACTGGCAAGGTTAGTATTGTTTAACATGTACTAAAAAAGCATGTGCAGTTAATTGTCAAATCTTGCTATGCATATATTTTTATCATAACTTACCATCTATGAATCACAACTTTTTCAATGTATACAGACAGCAATCGCTCTAGCTGTTGCCCAAGAACTGGGAACCAAAGTGCCCTTCTGTCCAATGGTGGGGAGTGAGGTCTACTCAACAGAAATCAAGAAGACGGAAGTTCTAATGGAGAACTTTCGTCGAGCCATCGGACTAAGGATCAAGGAAACCAAGGAGGTGTACGAAGGGGAGGTGACAGAACTGACGCCTGTGGAGACTGAGAACCCTATGGGAGGTAATTAGAGCTGATTTAAGGAGTAGCTAGATATAGTGCAATATTAGGTATCTTCAATATTTAACTAACATAATGACCTTATAAGTCACCTGAGTTAATCCTATGCTAACTTATTGCTATCATCTGTCCTATGTCATTGTGTGTTAACAGTTCTCATTAAGGGACTTAATTAGAGGCTGTGTCTTACGGATCATACTGTGCAAAAGCTTTCAAACATAAGTTTTTCTGACACCGGTAGATTTTCACCAACATTACATAAAATGATCCTTAAATAAATGATGAGGATAAGAATTTTTACCCTACAAGGGACTGAATCCCCATTGGACTGAGGGGTGGCAGAACATAAGTGGTCACATAGTGTAAAACCTTCAAATAACCTCTTAAGAAACTTACGTGGTAATGGTGGAATTTGGTAACTATTGTATATAAAAAGACTCATATAACTGGCACAGTCAGTAATTATTCGGGTGTCAATGAAATTGGTTTATTATTTAGGTTTTAGGCGTACTCCTTTTAATTCTAGCACACTGATCAAAGACTGATTTACATGTACATGTAGACTTACCCTGTTGTTAGACCGTTTGGTAACTCATGTATTGTTTTCCTATCTCAGTATTGTCTAAGTTTTCTGTATTATTATAAAATATTTCAAAATTGAAAAATTAAAGATAATATTTGCTTGTTTCATCAACAGGATATGGGAAAACTGTGAGCCATGTTGTGATTGGACTGAAGACAGCAAAAGGAACAAAACAGCTGAAGCTTGATCCGTCTATATACGAAAGTCTACAGAAGGAGAAAGTAGAAGTGGGAGATGTGATTTATATAGAGGCTAACAGTGGGGCAGTGAAGGTAAACACTAACAAGGAAGTAACAGACACATTGTATAGAAGCTGTACACATCTGAAAAAGTGTCCTCTCCTCCTGTGGACCTTATATAATAATGATTTAATCTGTCTTGTAACAAACATTTTCATTGGCTTAAAAATTTATGCTATCAGCCCATAACTTAAAAAAATGACGTCGCCATTTGTAACGTCGCTTTGATTGGCTGATACAGCAGCGCAATAATTTCTAAAAGAAAGAGTCCATCAATAAAAGTGGATTTCCACAGGGATTGTGTAGAATTACACAATTAGTTACAAAAATAGTCTCCCTTGAGGCCTTCTCTACAATCTACGGCAATAATATATACAGATTAATAGCATTAAATATGAATATAAATTCAGATATAATTAAAAGTCAACATTCCAAAGACTTGAAATACAATTCTAGCATAATTACAAACAAGTATGATGCTGTAAAACGTTTAATAAATTTATTGTACATAGACACAATGCAATCAAATTATCAATACTTTGAAATGAATTCTATTGTTTTCCTTGGTCTGACATGGTAATCGCCTTATTTTGCTGCCCTTTTACACTCTGTACAATAGTACTGTCTTTTTAGAATGTTATTTGATTGTTCATGTTGTATTGGAGTATATGCTGGAACTGGCACAGTCAGTAATTATTCGGGTGTCAATGAAATTGGTTTATTATTTAGGTTATCTAGATGCACACTCCTTTTAGTTCTAGCACACTGATCATTAAATGATCTCAGAGAAGACGATAGAAAAGGGGAACTGATAGCCAGTAAATTCACCAAACCCTTTTTCATCCCCATCTCTCACAATACCTGTAGAATATATTTGTTGTAACTCTGTTGTAACAGAAAATGGTTTATACTAATTTCAGTGCACTGTCTGTCCATCAATTTGTTTGTCCTGCTTACGCTCTCAGAACAATAAATTTCCAGAATATGTGTCAACTACCACCAGGTCTTTAAACTGTTGAACTCTCTTTGTAGCGCCAAGGTCGATCTGACAGCTATGCGACAGAGTATGATCTGGAGGCTGAGGAGTATGTACCCCTCCCTAAAGGAGATGTCCATAAAAAGAAGGAAGTTATTCAGGATGTGACGTTACATGACCTGGATTGTGCAAATGCTAAGCCACAGGTATGTGAATTATCCTGGTTCCAATTAAGGCCAGTAAGGTTTTTGTCAGGAGTATAGTGTATTTGGCAGAGCTTAGCTCTGAACGCCATATGCATGTTTGTTGTGACTTACAACCAAATGCTTTTATAGAATGTTGTCTGCATAAATGAGAATAATATAATTATGTATAAATATTGTGGTATGAAAGTTGAAAATTTGCCATTGTAATGACTGTTGTTTATCATAAACAACTATGTAATTTGCTCACCTATGTATTTAAACAGGTAATTTGGACTGAAAATGCTTATGAACTAACTTCTACTTATATGCTCAGAATCAAGTATTACATCAACATTTCTTGTGTTTGTACAGGGAGGTCAGGATATTATGTCTATGATGGGCCAGCTTATGAAACCAAAGAAAACAGAAATTACAGGTCAGTATACAACACATTACCATTGTCTCTTTACCCAGCCATTGTTATAAGGGACAGCCTAACCCAGCCATTGTTATAGGGGACAGACTTCCCCAGCCATTGTTATAGGGGACAGACTTACCCAGTCATTGTTATAGGGGACAGCCTTACCTAGCCATTGTTATAGGGGACAGCCTAACCCAGCCATTGTTATAGGGGACAGCCTTCCCCAGTTATTGTTATAGGGGACAGCCTTACCCAGTCATTGTTATAGGCGAAAATCTTACCCAGCCATTGTTATAGGGGACACCCTTCCCCAGCCATTGTTATGGGGGACAGACTTACCCAGTCATTGTTATAGGGGGCAATCTTACCCAGCCATTGGTATGGGGGACGGACTTACCCAGCCATTGTTATAGGGGACGGGCTTACCCAGTCATTGTTATAGGGGACAGTCTTACCCAGCCATTGTAATAGGGGACAGACTTACCCAGCGATTGTTATAGGGGACAGACTTACCCAACCATTGTTATAGGGGACAGTCTTACCCAGCCATTGTTATAGGGGACAGGCTTACCCAACCATTGTTATAGGGGACAGTCTTACCCATCCATTGTAATAGGGGACAGACTTACCCAGTCATTGTAATAGGAGACAGACTTACCCAGCCATTGTTATAAGGGACAGGCTTACCCAGTTATTGTTATAGGGGACAGCCTTACCCAGTCATTGTAATAGGGGACATACTTCCCCAGCCATTGTTATAGGGGCCAGACTTACCCAGCCATTGTTATAGGGGAAGGTCTTACCCAGTCATTGTTATAGGGGACAGCCTTACCCAGCCATTGTTAAAGGGGACAGACTTACCCAGCCATTGTTAAAGGGGACAGCCTAACCCAGCCATTGTTATAGGGGACAGTCTTCCCCAGCCATTGTTATAGGGGAAAGACTTACCCAGTCATTGTTATAGGGGGCAATCTTACCCAGCCATTGGTATGGGGGACGGACTTACCCAGCCATTGTTATAGGGTACAGCCTTACCCAGCCATTGTTATAGGGGACGGTCTTCCCCAGTCATTGTTATAGGGGACAGCCTTCCCTAGCCATTGTTATAGGGGACAGCCTAACCCAGCCATTTTTATAGGGGACAGACTTCCCCAGCCATTGTTATAGGGCACAGACTTCCCCAGCCATTGTTATAGGGCACAGACTTCCCCAGCCATTGTTATAGGGCACAGACTTCCCCAGCCATTGTTATAGGGGCCAGACTTACCCAGCCATTGTTATAGGGTACAGCCTTCCCCAGCCATTGTTATAAGGGACAGCCTAACCCAGCCATTGTTATAGGGAACAGCCTTACCCAGCCATGGTTATAGGGGACAGACTTACCCAGTCATTGTAATAGGGGACATACTTCCCCAGCCATTGTTATAGGGGCCAGACTTACCCAGCCATTGTTATAGGGTACAGCCTTACCCAGCCATTGTTATAAGGGACAGGCTTACCCAGTTATTGTTATAGGGGACAGCCTTACCCAGCCATTGTTATAGGGGACGGTCTTACCCAGTCATTGTTATAGGGGACAATCTTACCCATCCATTGTAATAGGGGACAGACTTACCCAGCCATTGTTATAGGGGACAGACTTACCCAGCCATTGTTATAGGGGACAGACTTACCCAGCCATTGTTATAGGGGACAGACTTACCCAGTCATTGTTATAGGGGACAGACTTACCCAGTCATTGTTATAGGGGACAGTCTGACCCTTTTCTAAATAAAATAGTAATCCAACATTCTCACAATAGTCACTTTTGCTGAGATGAAAGAGGCTGCATGAGCCTGACTGCGCATCCCAACATATCGATTGATTTGAGAATGGACATGCCATCAGTCCAAGCTATATCCTGAAACATGCAGTTTGAACATATTAATTTCTGAGTAAATGTCTTGAATAAAATGTGAATATTTAGTTGTTACTTGAAAAAAGGAAATGAGATCTACATGTAAACACTCAAAATGTGGAAAAAAAAGTTTCCCAAAATTAAGAGATAGAGTTGGTCCTCAAAAAGATGGTGAATCCGATAGAAAAAGCATGAGTCCAGGACTCAAATATCTTAATACCAGAAATCACTGTAGAAGTCGGTGGCATTGATGAGTTGTCTCCCTTACACTTTGTGGAAAAACAACAAAACACCAAAAATTACCAAATTTTATCTAATTGGGAACTGCCATTGAATAACTATGCACATTAGAGTAATTTTACAAATTACATAGGGCGCTATATAAATGTTGTATATTATTATCATTATTATAACTATGCAAAATTTTCACAAGTTTATGATACAAGGTGATGTATGAAATTTGTTGCTAACTGTGTATGCATTGTTTTCTTTACATTTGAAAATTGATTACAGACAAATTAAGGAAGGAGATTAACAAAGTAGTGAACAAATACATAGACCAGGGCATAGCTGAACTGGTGCCAGGAGTGTTGTTTATAGACGAGGTCCACATGCTCGACATTGAGTGTTTCACCTACCTCCACCGAGCTCTGGAATCCACGATAGCCCCCATCGTTATCTTCGCCACAAACAGAGGCAAATGTACCATTAGGTAAGCTCCCTATAGACTCTTTGATACTGGTGACATTAGTCAAGTTACTCTGTTGGACCAAATTTATTATTCTTCAAAATTTGTATATTAAGAACAAATTAGTAGTTATTTATAACATGATAAGGATAACCAAACAATGTTAACTACTTTTAGCTTTATATATATGCTTTATAATACTGCAGAAAAAATACTTTTAAATGAATGGATGGAGAATTTGTTTTTATGTTGACCAGTTTGAGTATGATGTTAATTTGATTACAGATGTATAGTCACATATATCATTGAATTATCCTGATGTTTTCTCGTAATATCTTATGGTCATAATTGTGTTAATCTGCATGTAACTTTTGTCTTGTCTTGTGAAAGGACGTTAATTAGAAATTTGATAACATATGAGTTGGCACCATTGCTATTACTGACATGTTATAAGTTATATATTATGGCATTATATATTATAGACATTTCTGTTGATCATCTGTTGAAAATGAACTGGTGAGGTTTATGTATATCGGTTTCCCGATGTCATTGAAGTAACTAGTTGTCTACCTTTAATTGTCCTGTTTTACAGAGGTACTGAGGACATCGTATCTCCCCATGGTGTTCCCCTCGATCTGTTGGACCGTGTTATGATCGTTAGGACACTACCGTACTCACAGGAGGAAATGGTCCAGGTATACATGTATTTTGTTATGTCCCTGCTGTCATGTAGCATTACATACAGTATATCTATCACATCCTGTGCCATCCTGGTTCAGTGTCGTGGCTAAGAATGTCATTAATAAGTTCAGATTTCATGGTTCAAAGGTCACAATTACTATTTATAGAAACTTGTCAACCAATTAAGTGACATCACTCTAGCAACTTCATCTAAGGAATTATGATTTAACTTTATAGAAAGGTTAGTGTTGTGAAAACATTTAATAAGCAAATTTATTTCAGAGCTATGAGGCCAAGGTCACAGCTTCTATTTATAGATATTTTTCAAACATTGACACTAATAATAAAACTTATATATGGAAGCAGGAGTATTGCTTTCTTTAGACATTTTCTAGGTTATTATTTTTTATTTCAGTTTTTGTCATTAATCATGTTAACCAAAAATAAAATAGGGTTATAAATATAAAAATTAATTACTGGAGAAAAAAATGTATTTCAGAACAAATTTCAACCAGAAAAATCTCTGTGTAACACTGTTTATTTGTCCGTTCCATGGAAAATGTTTAAAATTACTGATGGTTGATGTTTTGTGATGTATTGCAATGCCTACAACAATAAAAAAAAAACTTGGCATGTCTTAGTATATAAGACTTGATTAAATTAAATGTTTTATAAAACAATTTCAGATATTGAAAATCCGTGCCCACACCGAAGGAATCCAGATTGAAGATTCATCATTACAGACGTTAGGCCAGATCGGAACTCAAACAACACTCAGGTTAGTATTCAACAAGTATTCCCCGGCTCTGCTGATCTCTACAGTTTGGGGGCAAGTTGTTTGTATCTGGAATGACAGCGTCATCTATTAAAAAATTCTTCTCCATGTTTTTAAACGTGATAAAAGAGAAAACAAACCAGGTCTTCATTATGTCAGTACAAATTATAGTAGGCAATTCAGAATATTTAACAAAGGGGAGAAATTTGCATAACTCTGCCAACAGGTATTGACAATACAGGAAATGTTCCTACTCCAGACTATAGGTTGTTAATGATAGATCCGATCCAATGACCCATAATAGTTTTATGATGTGCAAAACATTGCAGATGGTATTTAAAGATTTCACATGCAAAGTTGTCTTCAGACTTTGAGAATTTATTCTAGAAAGGTTCATATAACACAAACAGTGTTTATTTGTGACATTTCAATGACTAGTACAGTATGTAGAGTAACCTTCATCAGATGAATGACCAGTGAAGTTTACTATTGTAGTATGTACACAAAGGTGTAAAATATGTATGAGTCGGCCATATTATAATTGACATTTATCCTTCTCTACTATAAGTTTGTGTACCCTTATAATCGTTGTTATACATACACGAAATGACAAATCAATTTGGCTACACTTGTTTAATACCTGGTCATAGATGTACGAGAGCCTACAAGCAACCACTAAAGGTTTCTAATAACAACCTCAAGAAACTGAGGATGGTCATGTATATGTGCACATGGCTTGCTTTAATGTATAAAAGTGATTATAAGCCTTTGTTTTTGTTTCACAATTATAACTATTACTATTATTCTCATGTTGTAAAGCACTTTAGAGTAATTTTACAAATTAAATAGGGCGCTATATAAATGTTGTATATTATTATAATTGGGCAATGATATTCAATCCTTTTGCTTATATGAAGGACATAGTAAATTTTCATCAGATCTCCAAATGATGTTACAATGGTATAATTTCTTGAAACTTTTTCTTCACAGGTACTCCGTACAGTTACTAACTCCAACTCACCTTCTGTCTCGCATCAATGGTAAAGATGTAATCGGAAAGGAAGAAATTGAAGAGATTAGCAAACTTTTCTATGATGCAAAGTCATCAGCAAAAATACTTGCTGAACAGGAGGACAAATTCATGAAGTAGATGTTGGAAAGAAGATCTGTTCATTTCATTTTTCATCAAGAAAAAACTCAACATTTTTCATGTCTTTTCCAATGAGGACATTGATTTATTGGAGAAAATGCACTATTTTATTAAAAGAGAATCTAAAATGTTTCATCAGCATTTTGTATTCGTGTTTGTACTTGTGGACCATTATTATGCATTCATTAAATGGTGGGTAATAAATTATTGTTACACATTATATAGTTTGTCATGTATTTATAATCTAACATATATATATATATATAAATTCCAAGTTGCATGATTTCATTTACAAAATGTACTCTTCAACACATGTAGTGGTATAGTCTCACTATGTTTTTTTTGGGTTTTTTTTTCCTAAATATTTTATTTACCCCAGCCAAATATTATATATATATGATATACTGATAAGTATATACAGATATATGTAAATAACTTGGTATGTTTTTAGTACACTTAGGCCTTTGTGCTTGATTCTCTATCCACAGTGGTAGAATTCCCCTGGAACTATACTTGGAATCGAGATCTCTTCCAGTATTATACAGATTTTGACAATAATCATTTTCAAGTTGGTTTTAGAAGTAATGACTGATTGCTGAAATGGCTTTTAGTTGATGTGAGACTATACCCTCAATGGAAGAATACATTTTGAAATATTAATACCAAACGAAGCTCACAAAAGATGCAATATATTCACAAGAGATCTCTATATGAGAGGTCCATCAATCAACAGCGTCTAGAATATAATGTCATACCGAATAACATTGATCATTAGTATTCTTCAGGTCTTCACTACATAAATAAAAGACCAGTTACAACTTTTGGGAAATCCCCATGTACCTTAAAGTTTGGGTTTATCCGATTTGAAATAGATCACAATGAAGACAAGATTTCACAACTCAAAGGTATGTTCCCTGAAAAAACATGTTCGTATTGATACAGTGTATACAAAGAAAATGTTAGTATCCAAATATATTATGACTATCTCGAGTTTGAATAAATATACATTTGTAAGCATGTACTACCATTCCTATATATCGCTTACTTTCAAGCTTAACTATTTATATATCTTAACCATCTTGTGTCCAAACCCATTATCTAAACTATTTAATAAATATATTAAACCATTTATCTGAAAAAAACTCCCTTTTTAAACCCCCAAATCAATAGATGAACCTTTGTGTGCCTTACAGATCACTTTGTCCAGTGTTCATCTACAAATTCCTTTCCCCACGTGTCTGTCTGTCCAACTACAAATTCCTTTCCCAATGTGTCTTTCTGTCTATCCAACTACAAATTACTATCTCACTATGTCTGTCTGTCTGTCCAACTTCAAATTCCTTTTCCAATGTGTCTGTCTTTCCAACAACAAATTCCTATCCAAATATGTCTCTGTCCAACTACAAATTCCTATCCCAATGCGTCTGTCTGTCTGTTCAACTACACATTCCTTTTCCAATATGTCTGTCTGTCTGTCCAACTTCAAATTCCTTTTCCAATATGTCTGTCTGTCTGTCCAACTTCAAATTCCTTTTCCAATGTGTCTGTTTTTCCAACAACCCTATCCAAATATATCTGTCTGTCTGTCCAACTTCAAATTCCTTTTCCAATATGTCTGTCTGTCCAACTACAAATTCCTATACCAATGTGTCTGTCTGTCTGTCCAACTTCAAATTCCTTTACCAATGTGTCTGTCTGTCTGTCCAACTACAAATTCCTTTACCAATATGTCTGTCTGTCTTTCTGTCCAACTACAAATTCCTATACCAATGTGTCTGTCTGTTTTTCCAACTACAAATTCCTAGCCCAGTGACAATTAAACCTATTTAAGGTCTGATTGCTTTCAAACTCACATGTGTTGATCACCATTAATGAATACCAATCTCTGTTGGGGAGTATACAGGCGAGGTTCAGTTACTGGGCTAGGTATGTGCTACCCTGTCATTTTTATCTAAAATAATGATTGCATTCAAGAGGACTACTACTTAAAATATGAAATAAACTTTCCGCAAACATAATATATGTTACAAAGATTTTGGCAAACATACATCTATAAGATATTTGGCAAACATGAGTATAGCCTAGTGCTTCAATTCTTTCACAAAGAAACATGCCCTAAAATAATTTGTTGACTCGTTATTATACCATTGTCAAAATCATTAAAAATCTTTGGGTCAGCTGCTTTATGAACTATACAAGTCTATTACAGGGCTAAATAAAACTTGAACCCAGACACAGAACAATATATACGCCCATTGCTACCAATGCAGCAGTAGCGTAACAAACTGTCATACTTACAACCCATCTAATGCATTTTTGAAACACAATTTTGAAATGTCTAATTCACCTTAGTTTTATAATCACTAAATTATAAACGTTGATCTATAAAACATACATTCAGTGTAAAATCATTTTATGGCACAAAATATTTCAAATGGAATGATTTATTTTATGAAATATTTGTCATACTTACTGTACGCCACTGATTGCTAGTAACTATTACATCTAACGCAATGATCAAAACTAGTGTAAATATAAAAGGGTATTATACCAGGCTCTCATTTAGTTCTCGTGTAATAATACCTAAAGCATGATAAAAAAAATGCAACCTTCCTGAAGTATTTAATCATAATCGCGTGGCCTATGTAAGTGTAAAATGACAACAAATATAAACATATAACGATGAGCATGAATCTCGTCTACAACATATCAACATTTCAATTGTTCCCTGGAGAGCTCCATTTTGACAATGACGGGAAAAGTAAAAAAAAAAAAAACTGAATTTCTCAGTATTGAAATCGTCTATTAATTCTTTGAGATAAAATTCAATATTAAAATATGAAGTAAAACTTTGTTGGTCTGGACCTGGAGGTAGTGAATAAGTTTAAGCTTTCATCTGCAAACTTCTAAAAGAGTGGTATTTTATGTACATACTTTACCTTCATTGATGGCTCCAATGGAATTTGAAATCTTATTTAATATGGAAATTTGGGAAAGAAATATTTGAGAATTGATGCAATATGACGATGAAGCCTAATTCTGCAAAATCTTCCTACACAATTATTTTTTTCCAGGAGTATATATGTGAAATCATAGTAAATGTTATTTTTTATCCTTTAAATATCCAGATCCTGAGCACAGACTAACAAGGCTCTACTACATATTGCAACCGATCAATAATATATTAAAATTGTATTTGCTTGGTCCCATGAAAGACAAGTTAAGTATTATTGACACCATTACAGAACTCAAGAGACCCATTATATATACACTACTCTATGTATAAACCTGGCCTAGCTCATCACAAGAGTCCCATTATCTATACACTACTCTATGTATAAATCTGGCCTAGCTCATCACAGGTAGCACCCTGTTCTCCACTGGCTGTTTTATTCAGTCCTATGATTTTATACAATATTGTACAGTGCCCTTATCTGATCTCAAAGCAACTTCTCTATGGCAATCAACATTCAAGGGATGAGATACATACAAATTCAACCTAATCACCAGGATTAGTTAGGATATGTAAGAGTCACCCTGCCATAGTACATCATCTTAACATGTGATACCCTCTAGCACATCATATATGTGTTCATATATATATTTACTTCAGTTTGTGTTTTGCTTGGTATGGGTCTGTATTTCCACCAGCTCATTTATGGTGTGACCCAACTGGTACTTGAATAATTTGACACAGAAAACGTAATGCCCAACACCGACTACATGGTACTCCACTCCAGACAGGTGGAGTTATGCAACAAGGGAACAGTGTCTTTTGCCCAAGGATACAACCATATCCTGCCTGCCATCTGCGCGATCTGAAACTATGAGCTTGAGGTAATAGTTCAGTTCAAACATTGCCAGGACATTTAAAGTTGTGCAGTTCTACTGCTAATTTTTGTCTTGTTTCCCTTGGGTAAAATAATGATACACTATATAGCAATCATCAAGTCTACACAATGTTATTAGCAAGATACATAAAAAGCCTCATAATTTTTTTAAGGTTATTGCTGAAATATTTTGTCTAACAGTATGATACAAGACAATTTCTTGCCATGCTGCTATACAAAGTTTGTTTTTCTAATGTATAATTATATTCACAATAAAATTAATTTCCTGTGTTTTTTTCGATAAGGCACAATACTGGACACTTTCCAAATTTCCAGGGAAGAATGGCATTAAAAATATAGTCCGAACTACAGCTCCTAGCTTACAGCGAGTCTGGACCATGTTACATTGCAGGTCATTAAGTCCTCATTAGAATATGTCTGGATCATGTATACAGCGTGCCTGGCCCAAAGTCCTCATCAGAATACTTCTCGTCCATGTATACAGCGTGCCTGTCCGAAAGTCCTCATCAGAATACTTCTCGTCCATGTATACAGCGTGCCTGGCCCAAAGTCCTCATCAGAATACTTCTCGTCCATGTATACAGCGTGCCTGGCCGAAAGTCCTCATCAGAATACTTCTTGTCCATGTATACAGCGTGCCTGGCCCAAAGTCCTCATCAGAATACTTCTCGTCCATGTATACAGCGTGCCCGGCCCAAAGTCCTCATCAGAACACTACTGCTCCATGCAAACATCGAGCCTGTGTCATGGTTGGTAGCATGGTCCACTGGTCCAGTTCCGGGTCATAAATCTCAGAGGTATGGACAGTGCGACGGGCACCACCTCCATTCCTAGCAGAGTAAGACTTCCCTGAATAAAGAGTATACAAATCATATAAATGTCAGCAATAAATTTTATACAATTATAAAGAAGATTTATTCATCATCATCATAGATATTTCCAAATATGAGTATTTGATCATACTATTTGATTGAATATGCTTTAAGGTTGAAAGTAAAGGTGTATTGATGGCCATGAATATTGTTAAACAGATTTAAAAAGAATAGATTTTAACAGTTAATTTCATCTCAGCATTGATATTATTGAAGCAATAATTAAAATTTGAGCCCATTTTTCTCTACATAAACATGATATACATTGTACATGTAGCATCAATGACTGCTGTTTTGTACCATATTTTTTCCCCAGAGAAAATGAGACACAAATTAGCAAAAGAAATGCACATCTTAATATATACAGGCATTCTACTCACCGCCTATTGCACATATTTTGTTCTTGTATACGACAGCTTTATGGTGGCTCCTCTCGACCGCCATGCTGGCTACTTTTGACCACTGGTCAGTGATGGGGTCATACCTCTCAACAGACTTCAGTCGACATAAGTTAAACCCTCCAACCAGGTAAATATAGCCACCTGAAAGAGTAGACAATTTAAGTATTAAATGATGTATGGTATAAGATACTCCACCTGAGTTAAAACATTATCTAAGCTATTTATACATGATGTACACCACAGAAAACGTATTATGGCCAATGGAAAATGGAACTGTAATCTTAATCAAATTTGATATTTTGTTGTTACTTTTCTAAATTAATGCTACTGTCCTTACTTTTAAATTAAGTAACTTATTACTGATTTATGTCAACATTTTTTTTTTCACATGACCATTTTATATTCATATATCTTTTTAATATAAACTAATTTTATGTCAATACAGAATGTACCTAAAAAGTGTCCCAAAGGGCTACTCTGGAAGAACTTGGCTTTTTACTATACAAATATAATGATAAAGTTGTACTTTTCTAATTTTAGTTTTAATGAAGCACAGATCCTAGCTTGTTTGTCTTTTAATCCCTTTTTATTTTGAAACAACGTTATATAAATTATTGAGAAGATTTGAATAAAGTGCTATGATAATCAACTATCTAATATTTATTCATCACAAAATAATAGATATTAAAAGTCAGGAAAAGAAAATTTCATTAAATACATTGGACAAATAGAATAGTATGCTGTAAATAAATGAAGTGTATGCCCATTTCTAATTAATTGAACTCTTTCTTAGGATACGGTACGTAGATTGTGTTGGGCACTATTAAGACAGGAAATAACACTTTCGACCAGACAGATACCAGGTATTAGTGATTGTTTTCTCAAGACTCACCAAGTTCTACAACATCACACTTGGATCTTGGCTCCAGCATGTCCCGGATGGGGAGCCAGGTGTTGTATCTGGGGTCAAACTTATATCCTGATGCTGTTGAGTAGACCTCAGACTGTGACACCCGCACTTCTCCACCAAACACGTACAAAACCTCGTCACACACCACAGCCACATGACAAGAATGACTCTCCTCTACAAATGTCTGTATGTTTGGCAATTTTTCTACAGTTTTACAGAATATATCCCCATCATCCAGCTCAACAGATATACAGTTCACCTCCCTGTCAGTCACAGTGTAGACTTTATTAGTTTTGGGGCAAACTGCAATAGACCCTGAGTTCATAAGGCAGTTGTGGAGACATTGGATGGTGTCCGGACTGAAATAATCTGTGGCATCCTTCCATCTGTCCTGAAGAATATCGTACTCGTAAATGCCTTCTAGTCTGACTTCTCGTTCAATGTCCTGTTCCTGACTTCTGTAGTGGATCAGTTCAAATGCCGTGCAAATAAGTCGACCGTGAACCTCAAAGGCATGAACTCCTGATGCTAAAATGGGAAGGTCAGCAACAGTCTGCCAGTGTTGTGAATCCAAGTTAAATCTCTCTACACGCTTAGTACGAGGACAAAGGGGTCTGTATAAACATATAATGAATACAAACATAAATTCATTAGAAAAACGAGAAAAATTGAAAATACATATCTTATTCTTTTATATAACAAAATTTTATTTTAGCTTCTTAGAAAAAAAGGAAGACAGGGTAATGTGATTATCCTATTTTTCAATTTGGTTCCCTACTACTTGTATAACAAAACCTGAACTCACTTCATTACTTTTTCTAATTCTAACAGTTTCCTAGATCTTTTCTTAAGCACATTTAATAATTGATTTTTTTTAACAAACCATTGCTACAAATGAAATGAAAATTTGTTTTAAATTATTTTATCTCTGTCTTTGATCATAGAAATGCCATTTTATGCTCCATGTAGCCCGGTATCATCAGTATCTGTCTGTAATGTCACCTCACCCTGTACGAGACTGAGTATATCCTCCCATGACATACATGTACCGCACAGCCTCCCTCGCGTTGTCAGGGCCTTCGGCTACCAGCTGAGTCTCTATGATCTGTCTTAACTCTGGAGAGGCACAAACATCTGGAGGTTAGTATAATTTTACACTCTGCATCATACAACAACCAGATCAGCAAACCTAAACCCATCCTGCATCAATAACAAAATATATATACATGATGACAACAAATTTATCTAATAGCTAAAGCTTTATATTGAAGTCAAAATCAAAACATCAACAAAATTATCCAGCCCCTTTATTTGTATAAGTTTTGATCCCTATTGGATAATGATGCTACCCCCACATTCTGGTTGAAATATGTCCAGTAGTTTGGGAAGAGATATTGTTCAGGCAAATCAGCAAGTTTGACCTCAGTATACAGTATACTGACATCCCTGACCAATCCAACCGATTTGTTGAGTCCCAAAGGGTCTTATATTACACAGGTTTTACTCTATTAGCTTGGAATTGTACCTGGATATTTTTCACACAGTGAACATTTCATCAGCTGCTCGATGATTTCCTTGTCCACGCTCTTCAATCTCACGAACTTGATGATGTCAGCCATGTGACCGACCCTCTCCTGGTGATGGTGCTCCAGCCAGTTAAACACCGACTTTAGTACTGTTCCCTCTCCCTCACAGCCTTAACAGACAAAACCAACCTCATGAATCTCACAGATATATACACCAGAACATTACAGGTTCAGTTAAACACAGACTTTAGTACTGTTCCCTCTTCCTCACAGCCTTTACAGACAAAACCATCCTCGGGAATCTCACAGATATATACACCAGAACATTACAGGTTCAGTTAAACACAGACTTCAGTACTGTTCCCTCTCCCTCACAACCTTAACAGAAAAAAAGGAGCCACAGGAATCTCACAGATATATAGACCAGCACATTACATTTCATCAAATTGATTGAATATCTTAATGGTATATGTATTGAAAGTGAGACACAAACATACCATGTCTCCTGTATACACACACACAACAAGCATACACTACACACATGGAGGCATGTCCTTAAATGACCTTAGCTGTTAATGGGGCGTTAAACAAAATTAAACCAAACCAAACTATTGAAAGTGAGTAAGTTATATGCATCATAATTCATATAACACTTGTAAGTGGGGAAGATTCTTCTTCAGCATTTCAGATATACAATTTACGAAAAACAAATTAATAAATTTATGACTTATATGTATGTCCAACCAATGAAAAACTTTCACTATTGTTCAAGTTCAAATGCAACCATTTTATGTTGATTAAATAGTCGAAGGGAGATAACACCATGTAGTGTCCCATAACTTTATGGTAATAAGTTTATATATAATAAATAAAATATCAATAATTACTGAGATAGTCAAATTCTTTTTATATATAAACAAATGTACCTAGATATAAATCTTCAAACTGCAATATCTTAATGAGCCTGTTGTAGGTCAGGGCTAAGAACTCGTCCATCTGGCATATCACCGGAAATCTCTGTTTCACCATTGCTAAAGAGTTGGTCTCCAGTTCACAACAGCTAAACTTCTCAGAAAATTCCCAAACACCTAGAAGAAATGATGACCATTTTAATATGAATACATGTAGTAACATCATATATATATAAAAAAAAAAAAAATACATAGAATCTATAAAATATGATGTTTTGCCATAAAAAATACTTGACAATGAGCAAATTTAAATTTAATAGGCATTCAAGATGATCAGAGGGTATTCAACATGAATAGCATATTCAAAATAAAACAGTGTATTTTAAATCAAAGTCATATGAATTACCCAGACAGTTGCTTGCACTTATCTCCCTCGCCATGAACTGACAACATTGAAGTTTGAGGTCAGCCAGCTGTAACAGGTCCGTTAACACAACCAGGTCCTGGATGGTGTTCTTCGTCACTAGAAATATACATAAACACAAGTAAATTCTTGGACATCAATCACTCACAAATGAGGAAATGCTATCAAGCAAAATTGATATTAATTTCATAGATCAGATATATCATTGAAAATCATTGCCAGGGTTTTGTTTATTAGATTTTAGTCAAGAAATTTTGATGGATAAAAGGCTGAATGATTTATATATGTAGCAAGATAAGACCAAACAACTACCAATGAAAATTTTACACATAAGGATATCATAATTTCATGAATTATCTGTTTAGAATCATGAAACAAGTTTTTGCTTATCCAATCATGTATAATATCACTTTTCGTGACGTCATATGTGATTGGCTTATTCAATCATGTATATAACGTCAGTTTTCAGGACGTCATCTGTGATTGGCTTATTCAATCATGTATAACGTCAGTTTTCAGGACGTTATTTGTGATTGGCTATTAGTAAAAACTTAGGGCAAATAGACTTATAGACTTAACTCTTTCAAACCTAGGAACCTTTGGTAGACTCTATCATACATTTATCTGGATGAGTCCATTACGGTCTACAGTGGTGAAAGATTGTTTCATGATCTTGGGGCCTGGATTTTTTTTATATCCAATGACTTTCCTTCAGACACTTAGTAATTCACAGCTGATATTGTAATATTTTTCTGTGTAACTAAAAATTATCCTTACAGCTTTGACATGAAGACATTTGCATATCATATAATTATAATTGTTGACAATTTAAGTTTCAATATCTATATACATTGTGTTCACATTTCAATATGTATAATTGTGTAAGCTCCTGCTGGAATGTCGGCTACCTGTGAGATTTCCTGTATAGATGTAACATAACACAGCTCTCACTGCCTCTGGGGTCACCTCGTCCAGACTGATCTCAGCTATTTGTTGTTGAGATTCTTCAAATCCCATAGAGAACATGGCTCGGAAATAGTCACATGAGATGACAAGAACGGCTCTGTGTGCTGGTATGGACTCTCCATTTGTCTGTAAGTAGATTAATATAAGCATGACTTGCATGCAAAATTCTTTAAATCATTAAGCATTATGATGTACAAAATATGATTGATTGAAGTTCTACAACTCAGGGCTCAATTTTCAGATTAAATATTTGTAACAGGGATATAATTAATGTATTTGCTTGTATGTATGTTTGTTTACTAAGTCCGTCCGTAGCGCGTCGACTGTCCTTGTATATATTTCATACTCCGAGTAATGTAACTACCGCGTCCGCGTGTTGTATTCTATACTGTGATGTTATGTCTATAGGTGTATTGTGGTATTCTGCTCGTTACGTATGTTGATATGTTGGTATACCATACAGTTGTTCATTGGTCAGTAGTGTTACGTCAAGTTGTGTATGCGTTTTCATTGGTTCGTTCTGGGTGGTCAGTTTTGGCGCGTGTTTCTTTGTGGGCAAATAAATCACGCTAGTACCTTTTGAGGACTCGTAGTTGACGGACGGAGAGATGTAATGTAAGTGTTTCTTTGTCTTTGTGTAATACCCAACGTATATGTATTATGTGTTTTATTTGAGATATAATTCTATTTGGATCTAATCTAAGTATAGATGATTTGTTATTCCTTTAATAAGAAATCAGATATGATTAATGTATTTTTTTATATGAAAACGTAATAATGGAGGTGATGTAATTTGATTTTTTGTAAGAGGCGTTATTACGTTGTGCCCATTTGACTAAGGTTCGATAAATTTATTTAGATGTCTTTTATTTTAATTACAGTATATCCGTATTGCATACGATTGAAGAAGGCGTCGTAATTATACAAATAGATAGTAGCCAAGGCCTTGTGCCACACTCAGGTATGCTATTGTGTTTTTTATGTAAGAGTATATATATAGTATTGATTTGAGAAGGTATAGGTCGCTAGACTGCTAACTGTGAATTTAATATATTGTCCAGTAACTTTGTTTTGAGTCAAATCTTCAGTTTGATTGTATTTCATAAAAGTTGTAATTGTAATGTGTATTGCCTTATAGTTGATTTGTAAGGGTAAAAGTTATGAAATCGTGTAAGAGTTATTTCCCTTGCATTTGTACTATTAAATATGATTATGTGTGTCTATATTATATATATATATGACTGTAGCTTGTACTTTGTACTTGTTGCAGGGTTCTTTTGGTTTTTACAACGAGCAATAAAATGACAGTGAACAAAACCCAGAGGAGTTGTTCTATATCTCACAACAAAACCACCTCTACTACATATTAAAGACAAATTGTGTTCAGATATAAGTTTTTCAGAAGGCTTTTTGATAATTTCTCAAAAAATGTCAGCAATACAAACATATAAGATTACTGATAAGTTTTGGTTTCTGATTTTTTCTTGTTTTGAAGCAGTGTTTTCCCCCAGAGTATCTAAGAAAATCCTTCTCATTTTATATGTTTTCATGAATACAGCATTGAAATCTGGTATACATTCTATGAACATGTAGGATATTAAAAAAGTTTCTTTTATTTTAGCTAGGTTCTTCCAAGCTAAAAAGATAGTTCCAAGATGTAATTTATCATAATATCATAATATGAAATGGAAATATATCTAATACACTTGGTCCCACAACCAAAACTAAACACCATCTTGACCATAGGCTGCAATGAGTCACCATAACGCTGTCTTAAAGTCTGGGTCATGTCTATTGATTTTGTGTCTGCATGACATCACAATAGGCGATATTACATAATAAGGAAATAATGGGTTATCAAGATATGAGTGTAACATGGTAATCATGTGATAAATATCATATATATACAATACTGCCTACACATTGAAGGATTAAAACACCAGACCAGATGTAATGAAAAACAACAAATATAAAACTAAATTGCTCCTTTCTTTATGACTGTATACCTTTATGATAACATCACATAACTCTTGTTTTTTCCAAAGTTCATAGAATCCCTTCAACAGCTTCACACCAGCATTTTTCAGGGTAACTTTTGTATCCTCGTCAGTACATTTTGTAAGGAAGTCATCACTACAACAAAAAAGATGCATTTTATAAACACTTGTCTTCAATCTCACTTCTGAGTAACATAAAAACAACACGTACGCTTAGAATTTGTGAGAGAGGAGATTTGCCTTCAGTGTTGAGAGGTCTGCACTGTCGGCGATAAAGGTTGGGAGGCTGTTCCAGGTACGAGTTGCTCAAGGAAAGAATGAATTTGCATCTGGAATTTGTGTTGTCGGGTTCGCTGGAGAATTTGGAGGTTGCCATCATATGCCACAAGGCCATTTATGATTTTATATAGTAATATGGTGGAGGCAATTTTACGGCATTGTTCAAGGGATTGCCAGTTCAGGGTTTGGAGCATTTCTGTAACACTACTGGTGTAGTTAGAGCACCCAAGGGTGTACCTGGCCGCTCTTCTCTGCACCATTTCAACTTTATGGGTAAGGTTTGCCTGCCATGGATCCCAGATGGGGCCACAATATTCAAAGTGTGGGCAGACATAAGCCTACTCTTTTGTTTTTACATTGGTGGTTTTAATATTTCTCCGAATGAATCTTAGGGATGAATTTGCCTTGTTGGTAATGTTATTGATGTGGGTGTTCCATGAAAAGTTTTTAGTGATGGTTAAGTCCAGGTATTTAGCCGAATCTGCTTGCTTAAGAATTTGTCCATGGAGAATATAATTAAATTTGTGTGTCAGTCTTTTCTTTGAGATGTGTAGAATTTCACATTTATCAGGGTTGAAGGACATTAACCAATTTTGTTAACACTTTTCCAGAAGATTTAAGTCTTTTTGTAGTGTTACACAGACAATAGTGTCGTCTGCAAAAAGTCCAACTTGGCTTGTGATAGAGTCTGGTAGATCATTTATATAGATTAGAAAAAGGCAGGGCCCCATAACTGAGTCTTGGGGGTCTCCAGAGAGGACAGAACAGGACAGGACGAAGATTTGGTGTTACTCACAGCAACTTTCTGACTATGGTCAAGGAGAAAATTTTGGACCCAAGCAAAGATTTTGCTGTGAATGCCAAAACAAGTCTGAGGGAACTACACCGCTTGAGAGGAAACAGTTGAAGAGATCTGTGATAATTGGAGCTATTTCAATAAAGACATGTTTCAGGAAATATGGAGAAATTTTATCAGGGCCTGTGGCTTTCTTGGGGTCCAGGTTTTTAAGAAGTTTTGAAACACCAGGAATTGTGATATTGATGTCTGACATGTACTTTGCAGGCTTTTGTGAGGAATAGAGGTCAAGTTCACAGAGATGAGATAGTCTGGATGAGTTCTTTCCTGGAGGGGGAGTAGGTCACCCTGGTAAAATAATAAAGCAATTCCTACTGACTCGGCTAATGAAAACTCCTTCAGCACAATCAGTAAAGCATTAGACTGGAATGCCAGAGGCCCCAAGTTTGATCCCTAGCAGAGACAATGAACAAAATGAGTTACCACTGTTATATATATGTAACAGGAGAAAGAGAACATGTAAGGGCCAGACCAGGGTTTAAACCCAGGACCCTCCAAACTCTAGACAGTCTCTCTACAAATTGAGCTACCTGGTCGCCGACGATTGACCCAGTCCAGTTCTGCTACACTCCTCCTCCTTTTTCGAAGTCTTTTCCCCCAAAGACACAACTATTTCCAACCCAAGGTTGGGTATCCCCTTGCTAAGCGTACTCCCAAGGCTTGAAACAAGGGTTGGCAAGCTCACCAATTTTGTAACAGGACTGAGAAAGAGAAAATGTAACGGCCAGACCTTGGTTCTGTAACAGGAAAGAGAATTGTGTGCTTCCACCGGGGATCGAACCCTCGATCTCCAGGTTCCTATAGTCAAGCGCTCTACCACTGAGCTAAACGGAAATTCCCCCTAGCTCGAAGCTAGAAGGCGACCTTAATCCTATGTACAATTGAACCCTGCCACACTACTCCCCCCTTTTTAAATGTGTTCGTCCTCGAACACCACAACCCAGGTTCTAACTCCCTGTCACTACAGAGAGGGCCACGCACACCATTTGTAACAGGAAAGAGAATAGTGTGCTTCCACCGGGGATCAAACCCTCGATCTCCAGCTTCCTAGTCGGACGCTCTACCACTGAGCTAAAGGGAAATTCCCCCTAGCTCGAAGCAAGAAGTCGACCTTAATCTTATGTACAATTGAACCATGCCACAGTTCGAACCCAGGACCCTGTGAACTCTAGACCAACGAAATACCAATGCAATTGAGCTACCTGGTCGCCGACGATCGACCCAGTCCGGTTCCACTACACATATAAAAAGAAGCAAAAGATAATGTTAAAAACTTTGGCGGATGGTGAAGCTGTTTAAAGGACGTATTCCACGCTCCCGTTTACGTGCTGTATGTAACTGTGACAGCCTATCCGCATCTAAGGAGCTGACCGACCTTAGGGCGTGATCTGGACGGGCAAGGTCATTTTGAATCACCGAGGGCCCGGTAAGCTGGAGACTTACCCCCTCAAAACGCCAGAACACGGGCTCCGCCCGTGAAAAGGAGTCTATAAACCCATCAACCAACCAACCAACCAATGTTAAAATATTTGTCAGTCACATATATTGACCTTTTTCTGCTACATTTTACAACACTTGGTATTTTTTTATCATTGTCTCTGTTAGGGAAACCAAGATGAACACAGATTTATTCTAAAATTAATCAATGTCATGCCAGTGCTCTACTGGCTGACCTAAAGGATCCAACGCTGAAATGGCAACCAGAAATTAGAATCGAGGTCTCAAGGACGGAAAAATGATCAGTTCATTCATAGAACAAACCACATGGAAAGTATAAAAATTTAGCCGAAATGCAATCAGTATTAAGCGCTTAAGTAGGAATACAATTAAAACCCGGTATATAGGTTTAGCTGGCTGACAGTAAACATGGTTGGGGCTGTTCATTGGTTTCGTCTATTGCTTAGAATAGTCTTATATCATGTACATGTCTGAAAATGAATATGGTTAATCATCAATTATTCAGTCTAGCATCTTTTGATAGCTACTAAAATTCAAAAGCATCAATATAACAAAGTAATCTTTTAAAGTGCAGACGACCTTTTACGTTTCGCCATTGTCGACGTCCATGATCCAAATAATCATCCTCCTTATCGGAGCGTCTAATTACCCAATACTACCCAATACCACCCAATACTACCCAATACCACCCAATACTACCCAATACTACCCCATACGACCCAGTTATGAACCAAATACTTCTTTATTACTGTGAAATATCACCTTTGTAGACGTTATTTACTTCCATCTGCCATATTTTATCGGGAAATATGCGATTTGGTGCCGAAAACATCACCGAATTGCCGTGAC